CCACACCTATTTTTAAGGACTTAAAATAAAAAAGAAATATTGTCTTTTTGGAAGTTTTTATATTAAACATCCAAACCAAATACATGAAATAAAAGGCTACTGATATTTATTGATTGCATCTTGAATAATAAGAGGAACAAAACATTTTTTTGGGAAATTGTAAACAAAGCTAATAAAACCGTTTACATATACCCCAGTTGACCCTAAATACATTGCAATAAAAATAAACAAATTGCTATGGAGGGCAATGAACCCAACGAGGACCAATGCGTGAAGTGTAAGAAAAACTGTGAGGAAGAATATTATAACTGTGACTCCTGCCTGAAGAGAATTCACAGGAAATGTTCAAATATTGCACCATCTGAAGCAAGGTGTATGCCCCTTCAAAAGCGGATGCTACTGTTGATATGTGAAGAATGCAAATCTCTAATTGCAAGAATGCCTTTTATTATAAGGATGTTGGAAGAAATACAAAGAGATGTCGAAGCCCTAAAGACCGCTAGGCCAAAAGAATCATATGCAGCAGCAGTAGTACGCAACGAGACAAATAGAGAGGGCGATAGGACATGCCTGCCCTCAATTATAATCAAACCTAAAAAAAATCAAGACCCTCAGGAGAGTAAGAGTGAAATTCAAAGATCAATTAACCCATCAACGCTTAAATTGGGAATAAGAAATATAAAAGAGACAAAACAAGGAAATATAGTTGTGAAATGTGACACTGAACAGGATTTGAAACACTTTAGAAGGGAAGCAGAGGATAAACTAGGAGAAAACTATGAAATGGAGCTACCAAAGAAATATTTGCCCAAAGTTAAAATAGCAGGGTACAGTGGTGGAGAGCCACTGGAAATTATAGAAGAAAAAATTAGGAATCAAAATAAATGGATAAACAGTACTGAAGGGTTGAAAATCACATACATCAAAAGCAAGAAAAATGCTGAAAATTCAACAATTTATGCAGAGTGTTCAGGAACACTTTTCAACAAAATGATAGCGCAGGGAAAGATATATATCAACTGGCAGCGTCTGCCTGTGTACGAGGACTTGACAGTGTCCCGTTGTTTCAGGTGCCAGGGTTTCAATCACAAAAGTGCGAAATGCAGCAAGGAACAAGTTTGTGCCAACTGTGCCGGAAGTCATGAATCTGAGTCCTGTGAAGGTATAATAAAAAAATGTGTAAACTGTCGAGAAGCAAATAAAAAATATAAACTACAACATGATACAAATCACTCAGCTCTGCATAGTGAGTGCCCATCCCTAAAATATCGTTTAAATTTATTGAAGAACAAAACAGACTATTATTCTTAAAAAATGGTAATACACGACGAGGACGAGATTCTGGAAGACATTGGAAAGAATGATATCCAAGACAAAATTGTGGGGCTGGAAACACTGCAACAAGTTGATGCAAATGACTATCTGTTAAGTGTAATGCATTTTAATATTAGGAGTTTTAACAAAAATATTGATAACCTAATTCTATTTCTAGAAACATACAAGCTATATAACATTGATATCATTGTTTTGAGTGAAACCTTTCAAATTGATGCTATCGAGAACTGTAATATCCCAGAATATCAAATTTTTTATAACCAGGCAAAATATAATAAAAACGACGGAACAATAATATTGGTTAAAAGGCATATTAATGTTGATTTCTCATTCTCTCTTCTACCAAACGCTAAAGCCACGGTTAGTAGACTGCAATTTCAAATAAGAAACATGACAATTGGACTGACAACAACTTACAAACCACCACCTATCCCAAAGGTAGATTTTGTGAATGACTTACATGCTTACCTAGAATCCTTAACCAGCCTCAATATTGAAATATTCACTGGGGACATTAATATAGACATCTTAAATGATAATGACAATCAAGTAATAAACTATATTGGGATGATGAATGTCATGGGGTTTCAAAGCTATATTAATTCTGTAACAAGACCAGCCTCAAAAACCTGCCTCGATCATATTTTTGTTAAAAAAAAGCTAAACGTAAATAAACTCAATTTTAAATCTTATATCATAGAAGAGGATATAACTGATCATAATCCGATTGCACTATTTATAAATCAGGAAAAAGACTCTCAAATTAGAAAAAATTATCAGGAAACAGTTTTGAAAACAAAGTTGGATGTTTTCAAATTCAAGCAGTTATTGCGCGATTTCGATTGGTCTGGTGTAAAAAATGAAAGTGATCCGGAATCTGCTACAAACTTATTTTTGGACATTTACCGAAAATTGTTAGAGGATGCAACGGAAACTAGATATGTAAAAATGAAGAACTATAAAAGGATTAAGGATTGGATTACAAATGGAATTGTCACTTCAATCAAAATCCGAGATAGAATGAAAAAGAAATTAATAAAAAATTATGATGAGCGACTGGAAAAGCAGTACAAAGAATATCGCAATAACTTGAACAAGTTAATTAAAAAACAAAAAAATGATTACTATAAACATAAAATTGAAGTTAATAAAAATAACATAAGAAAATTATATACAGTAATAAGAGACGCAACATATGAAAGTAAAGGCTTTGGCAATCTGTTAAATATAAAGGACAACAATGGACAGGAATTTATTGATGAGAAGGAAATGGCCAATTTTTGCAATGATTATTTTATCAATGTCGGAATAGAAATGGAAAAAGAAATCCCCCAACCACAAAGACCTTGTAACGCAGAAACACCTGTGAGCAATTCCATATACCTAAGACCCATAACACAACAGGAATTGATTAAAAATATAGCGAGTCTAAAAAACAGCAGCTCCCCTGGACATGATAACATTAGTGCAAAAATTATAAAAGAAACACATGCAGAAATAGCCGATCCACTATTGCACCTGCTTAATTTGATATTGGAAAAAGGAATAGTCCCGACCCAGTTCAAAACATCGATTGTAACACCAATTCATAAAGCTAACGCTAAGGAAAATATAACACACTATAGGCCAATAAGTTTGATCACAAATTTTGCAAAACTTTTAGAGAAATCCCTCAAAACTAGACTAATCGATTTTATGAAACATAACAAGATTTTATCCCACAACCAGTTTGGTTTTCTTGAGGAGACTAGCACAGCAGATGCAATGCATAAATTGGTAACAGAAGTTGTAAATAATCTAAACAATAAAAAAAAATGTCTGGCCATATTTTTAGATCTTGCAAAAGCTTTTGACACTGTGCCACATAACAAACTGCTTGATGTCCTCTACAATTATGGAATACGTGGGATAGTGCACAAACTGTTCAAGAGCTACTTATCTAATAGATTGCAAAGGGTGAAATTGAATAATACATTAAGTGAGGAGCAGCAAATTAAAATAGGGATACCTCAAGGAACAGTCTTGGGTCCCATACTTTTTTTGACTTACATTAATTCATTGTTGAAACTACCTTTGGAGGGAATAGTGGTATCTTATGCAGATGACACATCGGTAGTTGTATCAGGAGACGACTGGGAAACAGTGAGGGAAAAATCAGTAAGATGTTTCAAAATTATAAGAAATTGGCTACAAACATACAAATTAACGTTAAATATATTAAAAACTAACTATATAGCTTTCTCCCTCAATAATGTAAACCGACCTTTATTTAATTCAATAATTGTTGATGATCAGACTATCAAGGAAACCGCTTCTACAAAATATTTGGGGATCATAATTGACAAGTTTCTTAAATGGCAACCTCAAATTGAATATCTATCTAACAGAATACGGAAACTTATACACAAATTTTACTTATTGAGAGAATTTTTAAATAGAAAACATTTGATGATGGTGTATAAAGCCTTCATCGAATCCATTATCAGGTATGGTATTATTGTTTGGGGAGGACTATACAATAATAGTCTACACAAACTAAACATTATACAGAAATACATACTTAAAATTATATTCAAAAAAGATAGATTATACCCATCACATTTACTTTTCAATGATGATATTTGTAGCGTAAGATCTATATATATATTGACAGCGTGCACTTTCATGCATAAGAACCCTGAACTGCAGCATTTTGTTGACCATAAACATAACACTCGTACCAGAGCAAAAAATAGTTTACAACTACCAGTGAGCAACAACAATCTAAATCTGAAATATATAAATTATTTAGGACCAAAAATTTACAATTTATTGCCTTTCTCCATAAGGAAATGTGGAAATTTGAAATCTTTCAGAACTCTAAGCAAAGAGACAGTTTTACGAAATCACCGTCAATTTGAAAGGTTGTTTGATTGAGGCCTAATTTGGGTATAGGTTTAATTTAGGATTAAGTTAAATTAGGTTTGATTTGGCATTGGAGTTAGGTGGGTGATAACGGGGTTTTTGTCGATTATTCATTTTGTTACTTTCTTTTTTCTTTGTCATTCTTCTTCTTAAATAGGGGAAAAGAGGTTGCGAACTGTTTGTGTTCGCCGACCGTCTAAGTATTTGTGATATTTTTTTATTTTTTTCGATTTTTCGATTCTCTTTAATTGTATAACATATCCCTAACATTAAATTAAAAATATTGGGTACCTACATTTACAGCACATACAGATGTTTATAACATCTAGGTGCTACAAAATAAATCTTGTTTAATATGAATTTAATTAAGAGTAAATCCTTACAACTTATTGTGAATCAAAACTTGTATGTATGATCAAATATATATATAAATATATATGAAAAAAAAAAATAACCGGCAAATTTTTGATTTTCACAACTAATTAGCGGCAAAAAAACGGCAAATTTTCACGTACCTAGTTTTTTAGTGCTGACATATTTAGTGATGTTGTCTCGCTATCTTGACGTCAAGTTAGCAAAACACGTAATTAAGAAAAAAACCAAAAGAGCGGCAAATTTTTTAATTCCACATTTAATTAGCGGCAAAAAAGCGGCAAATTCTTGGCATAATGGAAAATCGATTTTTCGAAGTTGTCTCGCTAAGTTGATAGACATCTAATATTTACTATAACTAGATAAAGAAATAACATATAAATCCTTACCTTGTATAGTAACTTTCGGATTGTCATGTTCCATACACTGGACGATTCTCAAATAGCAGTTCTCAAAGTTACCCATCAACCATTTCCTGCTTTCGTTTTCCGGCGTTTTCTCTACCGCTTTCAGCGGCACAATTTCCAAATACATTTTCCTATCTTTGAACAGATTGGAAAAGATCATGTCCAATGCCAGCAAACAAGGCCCAGTATCCGCCCCGGAATAGAAATGTTGCAGGATTTGTTCAAGGATGTTGGCCTTTTCTCTTACGTTGAGCAGGAACTCTTGGGCCTTGGACCGTAGGATTTTCGATATTTTCGAGGATTTTTCCGCTGGCAGCGACATTGTTGTTTTTGTTGAGGGAGGAAATTTTTATTTCAACAAAAATGCCAGTCCGGAAAAACAAGGAACCTGAAAGTGAGGTTAGGAATTAGTGATTGATCAACAAGACAGATGTGACGGTACAATGTTGCCAAAATGGTAGAACCAAAACCAAAAAAACGCATTACAGGAGCCAGTGGATTGAAAAACTAAACATAAATAATGGTAATCGAAATTTTAAACAATAATAGAATTGATTTGACGTTGGAATTGGAATATGGTTTCAATTTTTCACGATATAAATATCGATATGGCAAATTCGTATCGATACGCCCTTCTCTATAAAAAAAGAAGCAGCTACAACATTATAACCTCACTTTATTGTTATTGTTTTTCCCCTTTTTCCACAACAATAAAAATTATATTTTCCAACTGAAAAACCAAAATTTTACCAACAAAATGTGGTCTAATTACGATGAAGATCTGTCCCAGAACGAATTCTTCAAACAAATCAAAGAAAATCACGCCGATATCCTGGAAAAAGCAGCACAAGAAGGCTGGATCGTTTGCGTACCAAGAAAGGGAATCCTTAAAAGTGAGGATTTTTCGATGCAGCTAATTCTTGATCATATTTTAATACCAAACAGCGAAGATCATTATACTACTATGAACAAAAAAGATGTACAATTAAATAAGCGTTGCTTGATACTTGATCAAAATAATATTTTCCACACGGATGTGGAAGTACTTTTCGAAGAGACTCATTACATAGAAAAATCTGTTAAGTATTTAGTTTGGTGTGTCAATTCGCCACTGTTTCTACGTAGAACTAGAAAACACAGTCTTACTCCTGTAGTGTTAACATCAATACAAGATTGTATAGACTTTTTATATTTAGAAGGATTTGGTCGCAACTTGCTGGAAAGCATACAAAATCTTTGTGTAAAATTTTGGACAACTCATAATAATGAGTTCGAAATGGAAACATTACAAAGTCAAAAAGATTCTATAGGAAATCTGTATTCGCAATGCTTACAGCTATGTTTCAAAAGTGATATTATTAGAGATAAGTGCGACAAAAATATAAATTATTTGGATAATTTTAAATTATCAATTGAAACTTATATGCAATATTGTCTTGGTAAGAAATTAATGTATAGTGTAAATACTTTGGAACATTTCACTGATTGTATTGTTAATAAAATTATACGCAATTCATTTAATGTAGGCTTAGAAGATTTAAATATTTCTATTGATCTAAACGAATTAATTATTGATGCCAAATATGAGATATCAAGGATCAATAGTTTTATAACAGTTTTAGACAAAATTAATTGTTTGTCGAGGATTTTTAATATTTTCAATAATAAAACCTTAAAAGACAATCAAACATTTTACGTTACTTCAGATGATTATTTGCAAATTTTAATTTATTTAATATTGAAAACCAACAATCCAAATTGGGTGGCTAATTTAACATACATCAAAGAGTTTCAATTTACTGATAACAGTCAAACGAATTTTTTTGTTGTGAACCTAGAGGCAGCAATATCTTTTATCAAAAGCAACGAGTTTCTTAATACTAAAAAATCAAGTTGCGACAATACTATTTTCAGTAAACTATATAATAAATTCAAAAACAAGCAAAATATTGCAGAGCTGTATAAGTTAATGCAAGGCGAAAAGGCGCAATTATGTCATCCCTTGTGTTCGTGCCCTAAATGTGAAACAAAAAAACCCCATGATAAACCATATAAAATATTAAACAACTTGAATCAAAACTTTCTTATAATTGCTTCAATGGAAAATCAACTAGATTTTTTAGAATTCCTACTCACTCTTGACTATGAGATTGATTTTCAAGACGATTTTGGTAAAACAGCTTTACATTATGCAGCTGAAATAGGCCTCCAAGACATTTTAATGCTTTTAATCAATGCCCAAGCAAATGTAAATATTTTGGACAATGATAAAAACACTGCACTTCATTTGGCTTGCGATAGAGGCCACGACAATTGTGTCAAAGCTCTTATTTACTCTTCGCCATTTGTTGAAATTAATTTACAAAACACTTCAGGTGAAACCCCACTATTTCTTGCTACTAGATGGGGATATTTTGATATTATTAAAATTTTACTTGAAAATGGAGCCTCAGTATGCATTAAAAACAATAGAGATTTAAGCATATACAAATTGTCACCCAATTTGTATATTACAAAACTTTTTAAACAATTTGGAAAACAAAAAAGCAATAACATTATTAAAGAAGTTATTAATTCTACTAAAACCCAAGATATTATTTTAAATATTTCTGAGGCATGTTCAAATAAATTACTCACAGGGCTTCAACAACAAGGCCTAACTTTGGGCACTCCAGCAAAATCTCCCAACGAATTAAAAAAACTTGATTTATTATTTAAAGCAATTATCAATAATGATTTGCCTTTGAGTTGTTTTTATTTAGGCTACAACAGTAACACTTTGGATTATGATAATACAAAATGTCACCCTTTATGCACTTGCAACAAATGTTCAAATAATGAAGATGACTCTGTATTAGCATCAAACATTACTCTTGATAAGTTTAATGTAAATATGTGCAACATTGAAGGATTTACTCCCTTGCACTTGGCAGCTAAATATGGTAGAACCGAAATTTTGAGGATTCTTTTAGATTCTGGTGCCCCTTTAAATGTTTGTGATAACAAAACCTTTTACACCCCACTCCACTTGGCTGTAATGTTTCAAAGAGTACAAACTGTTAAGGAATTGTTAAAATGCGGAAATTGTAATGTTGATGCTCAGGATGTTAAAGGAAACACTCCATTGTATTATGCGTGTGTTAGGAATAGTAATAATTTAAAGATTATTGAAAGTCTGTTGCAAAATGGGGCCGATTGTCAAAAGAGAAATTGCAAAGAACAAACTGTTTTGCAAATATGCGAAGTGAAAAATTTGTTTAGGGTTTGTAGGATGTTGAGGGAAAGCATGGGGTATCCGGCTTTAGCCAAATTGGACAAAGCTTGTAGTATTAGTAATGAAAATTATTTTGATGACGATGTTAACGGTTTTGAATTTTTATAGGCATTTTTATTTCTTTATAATTTGGCTGTTTGTTTTTGTTATATGATTGTAATACACTTTTATATTGGACATTTTATTTGTGTTTTATTTTTGATATTGACTACTACACTAAATGAGGCTTTCGATTTCGAATCTCAAATGTGCAGTATAGAAAACCTTTAAAAATTCGTTTTTTCTAAATCAAAACTTGGATCCTAAATTTGTGCCAAGCCCGCAAGCACGTCACAGGTACTAGAATATAATAATTATAAATAATGGTTTTCTATGATTTTAAGAGAAAATTTAAAGAGACCCATTACAATGAGTATTTAATTTGATGTGTTCAGCTTTTTGGTTTTTTATCAATAGTAGAAAAGGACATACTAACATCCCTGGTAACTTGGAAGGACGACAACAGTGAGTACGCGGATCCTCAGAGCATTGTTGATGCTTTTGCAAATTATTTTAGAGGTGTATAATAATTCCTCTACCAACAATGACATTTTCGAATCCGCCATGCGCCATGCTAAACTCAAATATAATAAATATACATACGATAACTTGTCAGAACATTATAGCTGCCAATAAAAGGCTGAAAACCCCCTCTATAGTCATTATAGTCATCAGTTTTCTTTACCGAAGGCGGTCCGAATAAAATAATTACGCAACCGGAAGAGTCACGAGATTCTTGACCCTTTATATAAACTCATAAATCTATAAACATTGATTACAAGGCTAACTTGTTTAAATTATGTATACGCGCTGTCGGCGTTTGTGAATATAGCGGAAACGAAATTCTTGCGACGTGCCTCAAGACGTGCCGTAGCGAGGAGGGTCAAATTAACTTTTCGACGTATTTTTTGCTCCTTAATCGAATAATTTTTATTTATTTTTTTGAAATTCCGCCTTCGATTTATTTTTTTAAAAATTTTTAAAGCGTCCTAACTCGAAAACGAAAAGCTCGAGAGAAAAACTTCAAATACAAAACTTATAGATCTCGTCGAGTACTACAAAAAAGCCTATAAGAAGTATCCCGCCACGGGACACCGTTTTCGAGAAAATGGACTTTGAAAATTTTAACAAAATTACAAAAAATTTCAACTTTGACAGCTGATATTTCAAAGACGAAAATGGCCTGGAATCTCAATAAAAAAATATTTTATAGGTAATTTCATTCTCTTTCAAAAGAGATATGACCATTTCCATTAATTTTTTAGTAATCTTTTCTACACCTTCCTGGGACTCGGAATAAATGAGAATATCGTCCATTGAACAGTGAGTAGGTATTTGGAATGTTTTTTTTAACAAGGAACTCCATTATTTCTTGAAATACCTCTGGTGCTGAACAGATTCCAAATGGTAGACGAGTACAACTGTAACGTCCCCATGGCGTTGAAAACGTGAGATATTTTTGAGACTGCTCTGCAAATTTTATTTGCCAAAACCCTCGTTTGCAATCTAAAAGTTTAAAATATTTGGCTCCACGTATTTCTTCCATGGTTTTCAGTAGATAATGTTGTCTTAAATTGTTTTTGTTAACATCTGTAGGATCTATGCAGATTCCTAATTTACCTTTTTACCTAACAGTTACTAACGGACTGACTGTATTTCTCATAATAGGTAGTTGGTTGCATTATATTGGAGAGTGTTTCCATACAGAAGTGAAATTTGTTTTTAATTACACTGAAGAGATTTTGGAGGGTTGTTTTGGGTCCGAACAGCTACAAAAGTCGAATGAAATTGATAAAAGTATATTTTTAGAACTTTAATAGGGGTCTCCATATGGATTTTGTTACAAATAGTTCATCCAATTCGAGGAATAAACCGCAAGGAGAATCTGGTGTAAAAATTAGGGGAAATTAAGAGGAAATCCGAGGAAATTTAAGGCAATCAGCGGGAATTATAAGAAAATCAAGAAAAATGATAAGAAAATCAAGAGATATCTTGAAGAAATCATGGGAAATCTAAAGAAAACAGCCAATCTCTAGATGCCCAAGGCTTGCCCAGTTTTCAAAATTTTTAATAACTGTAGATTTTTCTAATCCTAAAAATTTGCTAAATTAGAGATTTTGAAAACTGTAGATTCTTGCCGAAAGTTATGAGGCAAAATATGCGTCGATGTCGTAATATAGCATTAACTACTAACGAGTAAGAAGGTAGTTTTCAATAAGTTACTCAAGCGAAAATCTGGGCCTCAGAATGAGTGAGATTTCGAACCAATGAATAAAAAGTACATTTCATTAGGGGCAAATTGCTTTTTTCTGGGATTTTTTGGAATTAATGGAATTTTTGGTATTTTTGTGGAATTTTTTTAAACGTATGCGCATATGTCCGTTGCGCAACGCCGCAAGCAGGCTATAACTGCTGCAAAAACGAAGGGGAATCTTATCAAACCCAGAAAACAGCGGGCAAATAGGAAACCGAGAGGAGAGGCTACTGTGGAGGCTGAAAAACCACCAATTGAGTAGCCATATAAACAGGCGGAGAGGGCTGACATCCCCTCCTCAAGTAAACGGAGGCGCTCTGATCATATAGTGCTCCATCTCCAGCCAGAACAAAACAGGCCAAAAAGAGCAAGTGGGATCTGAATGACAGACCTAGTACCTCAACTGAGGCATCAACCTTCAAAGAAGCTCTCACTGGCCTCAAAATGGCTGGACAAATATCCGGAAAAGAAACTCACTCCCGAGCAGTCCTAGCTCATTCAGCTGGCCCTAACCCGGGAGATTTGAAAATCCCCATCGGGCAAAGGGCTACAGATAACAAACAGCCACCACTTCCTAGGAGGGGTGCTCTTCGTGGTTTGTGCCAACCAGAAATCCAAGTCTCGGCTCCTGAAAACAGTACCCACACTGAAACCATAAAGAGGCAGCAGCCCTTAGGGTTGATGACGCAAACGTGACCAAAACTGCCAGGATTCTACTGTGGATCCCAACAGACGCCGTGGGGGAAAAGGAGCCTACTGAAAGCCTCGAACTCGTTAAGATCCAGAACGGGGATCTTAATACGGAGGAGTGAAGTATAGTAGGCATCCGGGCTGAAAAAAACGGCACTACCGTTGTTCTTGCCATGGATGAGAACGCCTTGAAGACATTGGAGAAGAAAGGCTGTAAGGTAGCCTTCGATTTATTTTTTTTAATTTCCAAAGCGTCCTAACTCGAAAACGAAAAGCTCGGGAGAAAAACTTCAAATACAAAACCTATAGATCTTGTCGGGTACTACAAAAAAGCCTATAAGAAGTATCCCGCCACGGGACACCGTTTTCGAGAAATATCGACCTGGAAAATTTTAACAAAACTACAAAGAATTTCAACTTTGACAGCTGATATCTCAAAGACGAAAACGGCCTGGATTCTCAATAAACATACATTTTATAGGAAATTTCATTTTTTTTTCAAAAGAGCAATAATTCGAAACAATCGGTTCAGAAATAGCGGAGCTATAGGCGAAAAAGTAAGGTCGTGTCAGATCGCCGAAATTTTTATCTGGCCAAAATCGAAATATCCTTTTTTAATTTTTTCCTGGCCTTAAAATGCGTCATAGCAAGCAGGGTCCCATAAGCTTTTCAACGTTTTTTTTGCTCCTCTATCCGATGGTATTTTTTTTTTTGGAAATTCGGCAAGAAAGATTCAAAATCAAGAAGCTAACTTTTGGCGGTACATCGGAGAGAACTGAAACTGGGAATATCGACTAAAAATCACATTTTGAATATTCCCGATTTTGATTTTTGATAAACTGATAAATCTGAACACCAAAAGGACATTAATTACAAGGCTAACTTGTTTCATTGTGTACACGCGCTGTCGGCATTTTTGGATAGCGGAAACGGAAACGAAATTCTTGCGACATTACGCCGATAAATACTAAATTAGGACACGCAGGGGCAGGGGTCATTGTGGAGTTAACGATTCCGAGAAATAGAGGCGATGAACTCAAACTCACGCTAAAATTTATGGTGAGATTGAATAGGTACTATTTGAACAGATTACAATGAGAGAGAAAGGCAAGTAAAAACTACACATTTTGCAGTTGATTCATAGTAAGATAGATTTTTCATCAGTTTTAAATAATACGTCTGCATGTCACTAAAATTAAACACACTATATAATTGTGTAAACCTTACTACAGTTGTTTCTCTCATTTGCGAATAGACCCCCTTTACAATTTTATAAGTAGCTGCCCAAGGAAATAAACACCATCAATAAAACCACCGCTCGCCATTTACCATCTAACTAATTAAAAAAGTACTTGTCGCATTTGCTACACGAGATTGTATAGACTTTTTATTTTCAGAAGGATTTGGACAATAATTGCCGGAAAGCATACAAAATCGAAGCACTAATTCACTCTTCGACATTTGTTGAAATCAATTTACAAAATACTTATAATGTTCAAATTGTAAATGTGGCTTTTTAATGTATGTTGTTTTATAGACCTCTCATGTTTTTCGGCTCTCATGTTTTTGTTATTTTTGGCGCAATAAATTCGAATTATTTCTTGAGTGTAATATGTACGTATGCGGAAAATTTTTTCCTACGTGAGTCGTGAGTGTTATAAAAATGTTGAGTTTCTCCCAGGGATTAGCAGTGAAATCGGGAAATAGGTACTGAAAAGGTTTTATCTCTGCACTGCAGGCATAAATAAATATTTTTAACAAGAAAAAAGTTTTGAATAAACAATCACTGATAGTGGCTCTCCGGGACAGTTTATCATCGAATTTATGCAAATTTTTATGGTTTTTATGAATACATTTTTCACCTGTGTAGATTTGTTGTTATTTCTATTTGATGCTTAAACGGGGTGTGAGCCAAAAATTAAAGTTTTAGTGTAAAAAATCTAAGAATAACTGTTCAAACCTCGTTATTCTACGATAAACCATCGCTGAGATAAACCGCTTTAAAGTGTGTGTGACGTCACGAGAGCTTCGTCCAGCCGCGCTCTGCATTGTTAATTTGATTGTTTCCGGCACGTGTGAGTAGTTTTTGTTTAGATTATTGCAGGTGACACAGGAAAGACATATAATTATGTACAGTTGCGATCAAAAAAAAGTAGTACAAGAAAAGTCTCCAAGATCTCCTGGTCTATCATACATTAATTTAATTCATAACCAAAAATTACATATTTTTGGCATTTTTGACAAGTATTTAACCTCGAAAGCTTCAGATGACATTACTTTGGCATTTTTCCACCTGTTTTTAACCTAGAAAATGTCATTCCCTGAATCCATCATATTTTCAAATGTTTATTTACTGTCAAAATTTTGTATGTTACACCGGGAGCTCAACTTGGGGTTAATAATTTATGAGGACGAAGTATTTGGAGCTTATTGTGATAAATGTAAAGTTCCATTATGCAAAAAATGTGCAAAAATCAGCACAACAGAGGCTCACGCAATTGCTTTCAGCCAAAGAAATCTTATATTCATGTGTGGGAACTGTAGATTAACCTTAAAAGATCTGCCAGATTTCAAAATACTTTTGGAGACATATGACAGGGTTAGAGTAGAATCAAACAACAAAGATACTCAAGAGTTAGAGGACTTGAGGGAAGAAATGATGACCAGGATAAAACATTTGGAGACTAGCAATAAAGAGAAGGAGAATTTCATTAATCGACTTCAGAGGAGTTCTGCTGATTTTCAGGACTCAGCTCTCGCTGCCGACAGGCATATGCTGAGGAAAAGATAAGGAGTCTTGAAGAAGAAAAAATAAGTTTAAATGAGGAGATTTTGAACTTGATGGAGAGGAACAGCCAGTTGCTGGCTGAGGCGCAGGGCCAGCAAGATAAAGCTAAAAGATTTATGGAAGAAATAAGTGAACTTATGTGTCTTAAGGGCAACCTTATGACAAGTATAGAAACCTTATCAAAAGAAAACGAGGTTTGTGTCGAAGATTTTAAGAGGGCAAGCAAAGAGTTATATGAGCTTAGGAACTCTTTGAAATTTTCCGTTGTCTCAGAGTCGGCTGTGGCTTCTCCACGTATTCCTCCAGGAGCCCTGTATAACAGCTCAGTTGAAAATTCTGAACTAAATTCCGTCACTGCTCTACCACCAGAGTGTCGTGCGGACAATAACACAAATGAAAAACGGAGGGTTCTTGTTATGGGGGATCAAGCGGCAAGAGGTTGCTCTGGCCTCTTGAATATGCTTCTAGATGGAAGCCTCTATGACATCAGAGGTATTGTTTGTTCAAATGCACCCCTCAGGGAGATTTGCTATATTCAAGAGACAACATCATATAATCAGAATGATCATGTTATTTTTGCTTTAAATATTAGTCAGCGGATAGCATTATTACCTCTTCTCAGACAGCTCGGAATTTTGGGAAAAACCACTAACCTCATTTTTTGTCTCAGATATGATACTGATTCATTCCAGAGCAGGGTTTTAAACCGAGAATTACACAATTGTTTGAGTTCTTCTAGAGCTCACAACTATTGCTCTCTCAGAATTATAGAAAATTTTAGAAAAAATAACCACTATAGGCTTGGCAAGAATTCCTTATGTAAGCTTTTGAGCTTATATGTAGTGGCTTGGTGTCTAAACCCATCTCAATTTCAACACCACTAGCCCATGAAGATGTCAACAAATCGATAGTAACGCAGGGTAACCCATGTGTCTGTGATAGTGATGTTGGTTTGATACCAACAGATGGCTCAACTTCCTCAAATGAGAGCGTGACTGGGGTAATACCGTTGATTTGGAAGAAATCAATCCAGCACATAATTCAGGTGATAAGGATTTTTTAGGTTAAATGATGGTAATATTTCCCTACTTCTTTTGAATGTTCAATCCATCCGTAATAAAATAGATGAACTTTCTGTGTTTCTTGATAGCTGTAATTTTCCCAATATAATTTGCCTAACAGAGCATTATGGCTTAAGCCCAATTGTTGAAAATTATGAACTGTTGTCATGCTATTGTAGGGAAACCCTCCAACATGGAGGTACAATGATATATTAGTAAATCACGAGTTGTTTAAAAATATAATTTTGCTAGTGTGAATAAGTATGACAACTTGACTGTGGAGAAAGAATTTGAATTCTCTATGATTTTTTGCAAAAAACTGAATCTTATTGTTTTATGTTGGCACAGATCGCCTCTGTGCGGCGAGCGTCTATTTGTAGAAAGACTGGAAGTACTCTTGTCAGAGTTTTGTCCTAGATATAATGTAATTTTAACAGGCGACCTTAATATAGACTATGACAATGAAGACAATCAATACACCCTTGAACTTCGTAATTTGCTGAAGTCTGTTAATTTGAAAATGCATGTAAATAGTCCTACTAGAATATCCAAATTTTCGTCCTCTATTTTGGATTATGTCTGTTCAAGCGGGGATGGGGAAGTCTTCTGCGAAGTAGTAAATGCAGGTATTTCTGACCATGAGGCTGTTTTGTGTACTATACCCTGTAATGTAAATAAATCTGTACTACCGAGGAAACGAGGGAGAATTTTTTGTAGGAGTAGTTTGAGAAGGTTTCAAAATGCTTGCTTAGATGTCTATTGGCCAGATATCTTGAGTGAGGGGGATCCCCTGGAGAAGTTTCATGAACTGATAGTGGTAGTTTTTAATGCTAGTTTTCCTTTGAGAATAATAAGAAAAAAGCGCAAAAAGCCATGGATCTCAAGCGGTATCAAAGTTGCAGCAAAAAATCTAAGATTTTTGCATACTGTGCGGAAATATTATTCACATAATGCCTTTTTTTTAGCATATTTTAACAAATACCGAAACCTTGCGGCTTGCAAAAAACGCTTATTACAAGGATCGTTTAACCAGAGCAAGTAATAAGCAAAAAGAGAGTTGGAAAATCGTTAATGATCTCAGAGACAAAAATGTCAAAAGTGGAATCCAAACTTCGGTGGAACCAAATGTTTTCAATAATTATTTTTGCACTATATCTGGAGACCTGGCTACAAATATTTCCTCAATTACCAACCCGTTGGATTATTTGATGGATACCTGTATAACCGACTCGTTCTACCTTTGGCCAACTTTGGACCATCTTCAGTGATATAAAAAATAAAACTGCAGTCGGGTTGGACGGAATTTCTCTCAAGATTTTTCAGCACCTTCTTGATTGTACAATCAGCGCTCTGGCTGATGCCATAAACTTCTCTTTTTTAAGGGGAATTTTCCCAAACTCATTGAAAAAGTTGACACTGAGTCTTCCGCTAATTTCAGACCCATCTCATCAATAACCACACTTTCAAAAATAGTCGAAAAGTTGGTGAAGATACGAGTTAACTCATTCATTGATGGGCATGGTATTTTGAGTGTGTCTCAGTACGGATTTCGAGCAGGGAAAAACACGAACGACGCGGTATTTTCTTTCCTAAATAACCTATATCTGAAACTGAATGAGAGAGAACAGGCTGCAGCAGTGTTCTGTGATCTTTCAAAAGCGTTTGACTGCGTTAATCACAGAATACTGCTTCAAAAGCTTGAGGTGTATGGTTTTCGGGGTACTGCTCTTGCCTGGTTCAAGTTTTACTTGAGCGGAAGAACACAGAGGGTGGGTGTGCGAGGTTCCGAATCTAGCTAACTGACTGTTCCCTCCGGAGTGCCGCAGGGCTCCATACTAGGATCTATTCTGACTATTCTGTTCTTACTTTATGTTAACGACATTGCCACTCTCGGTATTAAGGGTACATTCACGTTATTTGCAGACGACACCTCTATATTGTGGCATGGTTTTGATCCTATTGAGTTGATTGAGACAATTTCTAAAGATATTGCACATGTGAAGCTATGGTGTGATGCCAATTATTTATCTCTTAATATTTCCAAGACAAATATTTTACAATTCAATGGTTCTTTGTCTAACATAGCCCTTGACACAAATAAAATTTCAAATTGCACAGATGTTAAATTTTTGGGTTTATGTATAGATAGCAAGTTATGTTTCAAGGCCCACATCTTGGATCTTTGTTCAAAGTTGGCAACTGGCTGTTTTGTTGTGAGAGTTGTGTCACGTGAACTTAATATAAGTATGTCTCGTACAGTTTACTTTTCTTTGGTGAAGTCCCGCATCAGATATGGTATTCCTTTCTGGGGAAACTCTAGCCAATATTTACTGAACTCCGTTTTTGTGTTGCAGGCGTGCCATAAGGTATATCTGCAAAGCTGGTATTAGAGATTCTTCAGGCCTTTGTTTATCTGGCATAAAATTCTTACAGGTCTCTATATACTGGAAACAGTTTCTTTGGTGCACAAAGGGCATCATACCTCGACAGTGGGCGGTGACCCTTACAATACCAGACAAGTTGGAATGTTGCCATTGCCTATGCCACACTCCACTTTGATAAAAAAAACTCCATCATTTATAATGCCAGAAAAATATATATCCACTTGTCAATTGCTGTAAGAATTATACAGCCTATAAAGAAATTTAAGCATACTGTAAAAGCTTTGCTGATTGACAAGGCATATACCTTAGCAGAGTACTTTGCTGATCAATTTTGAATTTGTTTATCATCATTTTATCTACCTACTCTGTTTATCATGTCAATAGTTGTGTTTTTAAATATTTTCTTGTGTTTTCAGACAATAAAGCTTATTTGATTTGATTTGATTTGATTTGAATTCGTATAACTGTCCTATATCTTCACCTTGGAAGTTTCACAATTTTCTCCTTATTGATATTTCAGAAAAACGTTAAAATACAAGTGGATGTATGTGATTTAATATGGTTTTTGTAAGTTGATTTTCAGAAATTTCTCATTTTGTGCTGTTTCAATGGAACAAATTCAAATTTAAGTACCTATAATAATCTCCTAGCATTCCTCTTGTCGAATTAAAAGTTTCACAATTTTCCTTCTGCTCGTGTGACTACCAATGAAATTAATTGCAAAATAAAACTAAGTCTTATTTTCAACTTAAGATTACATTGTTTATTGATATTTTTATTGTTCCTATATTTAGATAACTGAAAATTCTAAACGCTAAAATCACATTTTCATCTTTTCCTTTGAGCACCAGTTTTTAACATTTGCAAAATCTTATGAAAAACCTGCGTGGGGGCTTCGCTCGGATCCGATAGGCCACATTTCGTTTTCAAACGATCGTATTGTTCTCTAACCGACTGGCTCAGACTTTCTGAGTATCTAGAAATAATAAAATTACCTTACGTATTGAAACATTTTTTGTACATTTACCTATAAGCAGTCCGATCAACCACAGAAGCAGTTTTGATACAATCATTTCCACCAAACTCGCATATTCTGTAATGATGCAAAATAGCGGCATCAGCTGGCACATTTAAGGTACCTAAAACAGGAATTTGCAACAAAACACAATAAAACCAATAATATATTATTACCATGTCCAGGTATAAACTCCCAAACAAAATGATTGCCAGCTTCCACAACCAATTCCGGTCGGCAAATGTACTTTGAGCGCTGTTTGTGCGGATGCAGCTTCGTCTTCCTACGTGTCTTCTTCAAAGTTACCAAGTTTGTTGCCAATGAGTCTTTAAAACTGTTCACTTGAGCATCATCATCCCATTGGAGGTAGAAAAATGCGTTTTGGAACGAAAAAGAACCGGTACTTCTTGTGTTAAGACGATGATTCAAGTAACTAAAACATAGTTTTTAAACATAAACAAATTACTATATTGATTCTTACTCAATAAGTTGGGGCAAAGTTTCGTTATAATTTGGAATAATGTACTCGTCCAAATCAATAAGTAATGTATGTGAAAACTTATACATCGATCTGTAAAGGCAATCATTCAAGGCAGCAAACAAGCCTTCGGTTCTAATTTCCTTTTGCGAAATCATCTTCAACTTCCAAGGTAACAAAGTAACCAAACCTCTTTGACGATAGTCGTCCAAGATACAACCCACCTGAGGTCCAATGGTGTGATTGTAAAAAGTAAAATGATCCACCCCCATTAGTTTGTTGAGCTCTATAAATTCCATTATTTGAAGTGCTTTGTTGTAGTCAAAGTGTAGGGGTTTTACGCAAACTGCAAACTTTTCAATCGGCTTGACTGTTTCATTGAAATTATTGATTACAATTAACATATTGCTGGGAGGCTCTTTGAGCTTTGCCACTACACTCACGTGAGTTGGTATAGACATGTTGGTGCGTAAAGGGCACATTACGAAACATGCACTGTACCTTAAGTTCCAATTTTCACGGATCACCTATAAAATGAATAATTTATTAATGGATTGTTTTTACTTTTAGGACTTTACTTTGAGCTTAGCTGGCACAGATCTGGATACGTTAACGGTAGAATTATCTTTGTACCATAATCTGCAAAATACACGTTCAGGACCGCGTGTTTTTGTGGCTGCTATTATTCTGATGTTTCTTTGGTTCCTTCTTTGGTCGTAGTAAGCGGCAAATACATAAAACCTATATCTGGGAGAAAAAGTTGTTCAATGATTGGGCGATTAATGTTTGGATTTTCACCTGCTGCCATTAACATTTTGCCAAGATCCATCTGATATGGTAACGTTTTCTGGATATGATGGTAGCTGACCTTCGTTGAAGAACTATAATGCTTCTTATAAATTTAAGATCCAATAAATAAATAGACAAAATTACCTTTGACATATACGGAGGAGAATTATTGTCCATATTTGCCAAATGGTGAGCTTGAGGTTTGCCTAATAAATAAGCACCGATTTCTGCATTATCCATCATGGCTTGTCCAACACGAATGGATATGTAATCATCAGCCTTAAATAATCAAATAGTTTGTGAATAAACAACAAATCATTTTCCATAGAGATAAAATTGTCAATAAATTGTCAAGTAATTTTTGAAAATATGCAGCTAACCGAAGAAGTTAAACAACGCATTCAAATAGTACTGGATTTTGCCAGAAGACTGTTTCATTTTGGATTCATCCCGTTGATACTGTACATGGGTTTTCGAGCTGGACCGGACGCTGGATGTAACGCTTTGCATTACAGCCAATTATTGTGGCATTACTAATTTTTGAATCAATAAACCTAGAGTTTCTTTAATGTTGTAAGTTTTTGAGTTTCATTGATGATGAATCAGAATTCCTTGATAATAAGAGTGTAATTGCAAAAAGTATAACAAAGATGATTGATGAAATTATGAAAGTTACAAAACTTACTTGAAATTCATTATCATAATCCGCCCTATTTTTATGAGAATATCCCATCGATCCGTGTCTTACTAGGACGCCTGAAAATGAGAAAATTAAGCACCTGAATATTGTTGCTTTACTTTGAAGTAGAGGTACTTACCTGTTGCTTTGTCTTTCTCGTCGATGAAAAATATTTCCGTGAAGACGATGATGCCGAAAACGGCGAAAAACATGACGACAATGAAAAAACTCATGTGGGCCCTCTGTCGGTTTCTGAAGCTCAAGTATTTCTTTTTGCCTCCGCTTGTCGAACCCATCACTGGTTTTTATCTGAAACAAAATTATTGAATAAATAAGGAAATAATGAAGAATAAAAAAAAAAACAGCAAACACTTTCCACAGAAACTTCTATCTCAAGTCTTTGGTTTCTTCTCGATTTTTTCAGCTTCATACACTCTCATTTTGCATTGGGTACATTCCAGGCGGTACCAGCTATTCTAGATTTCCTTTCTCGGTTTCCTTTTGGTTAGAAGTTTGTACTAACCCAAGAAGATGCAGAGGAGAGCTTGAAAGTTTTCCATGGAAGTACGAGGAAGATCAAATGGAAAGAAATGTTTTATTTGATTCATGAAATCCAGAAGAAAATCAAAAATCACTATAGGTAGAAAAGGTTTAGCAAAATATCTATTAATCTGCGTCGGTGTCATTATGACACATTTAGCATTGTCATTTGAATGTCATTAGGTCCTTCATAATAGCACTAGTGCGTTTAAGAATTCATAATAACACCCAAATTTTGAAATGAAAAATATACAAAAAGAAAGTTAGTTGCCAGAAGAACCTTTTCAATAATGCTATCTCTATATTCGAAGAGACACTTTCGAACTCAGAATCACCAATAATAATATCTATTATTTTCCACTATAAAATTGAATTTATGGCACAAAAATGGACTCCAATATTGAAGCTGCCAAAGTCAAAATTCTAAAAACCAACAAGCAGGTTCTCGACTAGTACGGGCACCTGCTAAATTTCAAATTTTAATTTGAAAAGTTTTTGCTATTTCAAGGCAAATCAAATCTATTTGGACCATTGTAGATTAAATTTTGAATGATACACGTTCGATATTAACTTTATTAATGAAACTTGTGTAACTAAACCACTCGGCTAACGCCTCGTGGTTTAACGTTACACGCGTTTCATTATGGCGTTCATATCGAACTTGTATCATTAATAACTATAATTGATAGGTAGGTAATAAGTTAAGGGGCATTTTAAAGAACCCAAGAAGTAACACAAATTGTACTAAATCCTTTCGGCTTTGATTTTGCTACTAAACTTATTTAGTTCCTGGGGTAATATTGTTTCTTTATACTGCTTTATATGGTTCATTTAAGGTAACTGTTACCGAACCGATACCATTTATTGGAACTGTAAAAACCCAAAGTAACATTTGGGTAGTTACTAGAACTGGGCAGTATTATTTTATTGTTACTCTATAGGGGCAAAAACTATAGTACCAGTAAAATCAGTTATTGCCATCCACCAGTGCCACTACACGCCTAAGACGTCTTTGCTAAAACCCAAATTATGGACTGACTGGTAAACGTCTGGTTGTTACCTAGCAGGTACTTTCTATACACTAGAGAATAGAAAGTACCTGCTAGGTAACAACCATCAGACACTTACCAGTTGATCCATAATTTAGCCCTAAATAATGTAACTGGGTACATGGAAAAAGTCCCAGACCTATGTTTCTATTAACTTTTTTTAAATTTTAATAAGTACTATTTATCCTAGAAGATTGATCCTACTATTTATTAACACTCTATAGTTTTATAATTAAAAAATAGGTCGTGACAGACTACTGACAGTCAAAGTATTATTCCGTTGACTAGACCCAGGCATGACATGATCCACTGTTTCTCATAAGATTGTGGACTTGGCAAGACATGATCATATTATGTCAAGTCCGCAATCTTATGAGAAACAGTGGATCATGTCAATATATGACACGCCTCTTATTAAAGAAAAAAGGTAGGTAATAAGAAAAAAGCTAAACCTAAAATAATTAACATAACAAAAATGGTAACAAGCAAAATAGAAGAGCAGAAATTCAACTACAAATATTGATAACATTTAAACACATAAGCACATATTTCACAAATTCAGTTTTTCAGGACGCTTAATTAACCGACTACTTCTTGTTTTGGAAATATCCATCCAAAGGAATATCATTTCCTATAGAGTTTACAAGAAAATTAACTTCTAATGATGTCTCTGATGAAGGCTGTCTAGAATGCTTGACTTATACACGTTACTCTCAGGAGCTACCCGATCAATGACCTTAGAGTTATTGTAACTATTTTCCAGTTGTCTCTCTTCCCTTTGTTTTAAGGGTCTAAGGTGATTGCGGTTTCTTCTATATTCAGTACTTTGCCCAGTTGAAACATGGTAGTCATTATACTTTAGAAATGATTACAAGTGGTTTCCAGTCACGAATACCGCGCTGAATCAAGACTTTTTAATTTAGATGTAAATCAGTTTTTTCGCATTGGTCATGGTGCAATTTTTGTTGTTTTTGTCGATACTCTTATTTTTCCTTAATGCTTTTTGTCAGAAATTTGGGTTTAAGGAAACTTCGTGTAATTGGAAACGTGGTCCTTAATTTTCTTTCCATTAGGAGCTCACACAAAGCAGGTATAAGTCTTACTTTGGAGTTGCGTTATAATCCAAAACAGCTAAGAAGGGGTCCTGCTTACAGTTCAATGCTTTAACTAAAAGACCCTTTACTGTTTGGATTGACCGCTCAACGATTCCATTGCTTTGAGAGTACTCTGGACTTGAAGTTTTGAGAATTATATCATATCTTGAGCCAAAATTAGAAAATTCTATAGAGTTGAAAGGTAGTTCGTTGTCAGAGGATATTTCCAGAGGTAAGCCATTTATTGCAAATACATTTTTCAATGAAGAAATGGTTGTTGCAGCTGTTTTGTTTCGAATTTTGTTGACTTTAATGAATTTACTAAAGTAGTCACAGATTACAAGGAGATTGTGGGATTTGAAATCAATACCCACGTTTTCCCATGATAATTTTGAAACTTTATGTGGGATCAAGGGCTCTTTTTGATTACTACAATTATACAACTCACTGTACATTATTCCCATGACACGAGGAGGCTTAACAAGTGATAAGCCTTTTGGGATTATCGCGCTTGGTGGCATTTATAGCAAATTCTATTATAGAAATTTTTTTAAATTTTAAAGTATTAAAGTTTAGTTCGTTGTATAACCTTTTGAATACCACTCGATGTTTCAGAATTACCTAATACTTTTACCTGACACTCAACGCGTTACCAGCAACACCACTCCTCCTTCGGAGTCGTGGTGTTGCTGCGTAACGCGGTTCGTGACAGGTAAAAGTATTATCCGGTAATCCTGAAACCTCTTGTGGTATTACATTCGAAAATATTCCTGACAAGCCTGGCAACTCAGAACTGTATCTTCTATGGCTTTAGTGATTCCCGGCCAGTAAATTTTTTGCAAGACACTACTCCTTGATGACTACGATGTTAAAATTCGTTTTTATAGAACAAAATATTTTTATTATGTAGATAAATTTCATTACGTATAGATTAATATGACTTTAATTCTGGAAGTTTCAAAGAGATTTTATATTTTATGCTCTGGTCATCCGTCATCCCAAAATCCTGAAATTATTAATTTTCTGCATAATGAAATCTTCAGAAATAGCCTTTAAAAGTTTCTGTTCATCGTTCATTTTGTTTAGATGTTGCAGGAACATTGTGACTTTTTAAGTGTTTTTCTAAATAATCAGTATTTATTAAGTATCACTTGCCGGATCTCTACTAAGTATATCCACTACTTGCATTTTCTTTCTTGGTACGTATTCAGGGTTGACACCCTCCAAAGTCTCATAAAGGAAACGTTGAAAAATTTCTGGCGCCGAACAAATACCGTATGGTAAACGAACGTAACGGTAGGTTAAGGTACCTGCCCCAAGACGGAGCTATCGTGCACATTTTGGAACTATGAAAGTCTAATAATGGTATTTGTAAAAAGACTTGAGAAACATCAAGTGAAGTAAAATACTTTGCGTTATGAAGTTCACCAAACAGAAAGTCAATAGTAGGAATATGAAAGTTTTCGTGCTTTACGTACACGTTTAATGCTTTAGGGTCCATGCAAATTCTGCTATCACCATTAGACTTTAGCACCCAGCTTGTTGGTTCAGTAATGGGTACAATAAGTTTTCCAATTCCACTGAAAACATTGCTATGTTTGTCAAGAATTTGTTTCAGATTTCCTAGTTTGAATACTTCATTCGAGGAAGTACCTAATTTCACAAGTGTTATTCACAATTTTCGAAAGTTTGGCACCTTCCAACTCTAGGAGAAAAGAAGCTGATTGCCCACTGTTCAATAGGTATATCAAACGATAGTTCTGATGACTGTTTAGCAGAATCACAGAGTATATGACAGCAAAACAGATGAAATCTTTAAAATGTCACTAAATTTTATTTTTAACATCCTAAAGTCTTTGTAAGTTAAAATGTTAACTTGGGTTCCAGTATCAATTTTTAGGCTTATTAGACACTGTTCAATAGTTAAGGTTTCGAACCATTCCACTCTGCATTTACATTGGGGTTTATTATAGTCTAAACCACATCACTAACTGAGGAATCAGATTTTTCACTGTCTGAGTCTGTGTCATAAGTATCACTTTCTATATCGACTACATCGACTTGATACTTTCTGCTACAGAATTTTCGATAATGGCCTTTACGATGATGAGATTTTGAGCAGACACGGACATTGTATTTTTGCATACCCTGATCCACACTTAAAACTTGGCACACGTTTTGATCCTGAAATTTTTTTCAAAGTTAGATGGACCAGCTCTTTCTTGAGACTGCTGAGCATACCCAGGTGTTGATGATTTTTGTAAAATTGACCTTCAGATTTTCCTGACCCTTGTTTTTACTTCCTGAATTTCACAACGTGGGAAGCTTGATCTTAATCTTGATAAATTACTTTTTGAGTTGGTAGCTACTTCAGCAAGTTTTAAATAAGATTCTTGCAAAAGTATTTCCTAGATTCTGCTGTCTTTCCAACAAGTCTGTTTCGGACCAATACATCAGTTTCCTTGATTTCACAAGTTGAAACAAGCTGTCTCAGGGCTGACAAAATTGGTCTACAGTCTCTGTTTGTTGTTGGTCGCTTCTAAAGAATTTGAAGTGTTCGTAAACAAGGTTTTCAACAAGGCTACAATAGGCATCAAAATTTACCAAAACAGTAAAAAGCTTAGTT